ATGTTTTGCTCATCTATGTTTCTCTAAAAAAAATGCACAAGACTTACTTACATCTTTAATACTGTGCTCCTTTCAAGGCTTAGAGGGGGGCTCATGAGTTTGTGTTTATAGGTGCGTAGCCCCGGTTTCAGCCTGAGACCGGCATCGACACACAGGGAACAGGTGTAATTTCCCCTGCACTAAAACCCCAACAAGTGGCACCTGGGGAGAGAGGAGCATATTACAGGTTCAAGCGGCTATGCTCCCTTTACCACTGAGAGCTACAAGCTCTCCTGACCTGTGACCAGGCTTAGCTCTGAATGTGATCGCTAGGGGAGGCTCAGAGGTGTCGGAACTACCTCACTGTTTCTTACAGTGGAAAACATTTATTAGGGTTCAAGCCTGTTTGGGGGGCCGCAGGGCAATATTATTTCCTGTCCTCCAGCTGAGAAGTGTGCTGAGTGTGTGTGTCCTTACTGTAGAGCTTTTAGATTACCAGTTCTGTAGAAACGTGTTTGGGGTCGGTAAAAACATCAAATAACGGAGTAATAAAGTGTGTCGTAAACCAGTGAACATAGTTTAACCTCTGACCATTAACTCCCTAAGTCACATAGCGATATATATATATATAAGTAAGTCACAATATATATGTAGACTAGCACAGCCTGATGATTAATTCTGCTGTGGACCATGAAGTGGAAGAGCTTTGTCTCAAACTTTGAGCTTTTATGTCTTATGGTTCTGGCCATAGAACAGCATAGTAGGAATAGGTACAGCCAAAGTTTCAAACTACTCTTTATTGCTTTCTTTGCTTGTGTGGTGGCAGAATTCTTCTGATTTTTGTCAATTTTATCTTGATTCTTTGTTCAGTTCTTGCACCTGTGTGTACTAATTAAGAAAATCTCAAAATTACACCTTCCATAAATGGAAGAAAGTAGAAACACAGCCTAAGACGGGACCTGAACATCTTTTATCGAATTGATCACCTGACTTGTGAAAAATGTTCAGTTATTTTTCATAAATTCCATTGCTGTTGCTTAAATGCTGTCTTATACATTAAGCAACTCCCTTTTGGATATGTGATAGCTATGACCAAGAAGACAGGAACAAACTATTTTCTTAGCTCAAACTAACAAAATGACTGGAAATCAAGTAAATTTATTTTGGTGAATTTTCATTAATGTCCTACGTATAAAACACTAGTTCGTCCTTATAGGAGAATTGATTAGTAACTATTTTCCTGAATGATTTCCTCTGGTTAGGTTTGTGTTTGACCGTCTGTCTGTCTTTGTAAAGGATACCTTGAAAAGTTATTGATGGATTTTAATGACATTTTTTATTTAAATTTTTATAGATGTGTCCCTACATGCCAAGGAACAATCCATTACAGTTTGGTGATGCTCCAGGTCATAATCTGGATACAGTGATTTTTGTAAAGATTATCTTGCATTGTGAGATATTTGGCAGAACAAGCAGTTCCCCTCTAAAACAGACAGTAGCAGTAGTGACCGTTTAAAACCACAGCATTGGACTCAAGACGTCCGAAGGTAGGAACAATTCATTGACATTGGGTAATCATCCAGATCATGTGGGAGTTTTAGCTATAGGTGTAAGTCACAATTCGGGGCAAAATGTGTTGCTTGGTGGAAGTCTGCGCTCCCCGAGTGCTTCTCTAGTTTGAACTTAAATGGTTAGGTGTAAGCAGAACATTTGTTAAAAATCAGATATGTGCAAGATCTTCATGTTTGAAGGCACCTTCAAAAATGACTAAAGATCCTGTCACATATAAAACTAGATTCTAAGAATTGATGGATAATCTGAGACATCTCCATGATCCAAAGGAGCTGACTTCTTCTTCTTCTAAACAGTGACTGCTTTGTCCTAAACTAACAGGTCAGGGCTCTGGCTTGGCCAGTCAAGAATGGTCACAGAGTTATTCCCAAGCCACTCTTGTGATTTTAGCAGTGTGCTTAGGGTCATTGTCATGTTGGAAGGGGAACCTTTGGCCCAGTCTGAGGCCCTGATGACTCTGAAAGAAGTTATCTTCCAGGATATCTTTGCACTTGGTCGCATTCATCTTTCCTTCAATTGCAACCAGTCATCCTGTCCCTGCAGCTAAAAAAACACCCCCATGATGCTGCCATCACCATGTTTCACTGTTGGGATTGTATTGGGCAGGTGATGAGCAGTGCCTGGTTTTCTCCACAAAGAAGAATTAGAATTAATGCCAAAAATTTAAATCTTGGTCTCATCAGAACAGAGAATCTCCTTTTTCATAGTCTGGGAGTCCTTTATGTGGATGAATTCTCTGTTTTGCTGGATGGCCAGGTCTAGGAAAAGTTCTGGTCGTCCAAAACTTGTTTCAGTTAAGGAGTATGGAGGTCACTGTGCTCTTAGGAACCTTGAGTGCTGCAGATATTCTTTTGTAACCTTGGCCAGATCTGTATTAGAATTTAGGGTTTTCTCTTGGTCTCCAGGACACAAGACTTTTCTAATGTTTCTGGAAATCTTTTTCCTAAGATTTCTTAACCACCATTAATTTTGGCTTTTTTGTGGCAGGTCTAACAGCATCATAACTTATAATTGTGCAAGAGGATGCAGATGGGATTTCTGCACAAAATGCAGTAGTTGTTTGAAAAAGTCTTTTTGTGACAGTGGTGTTTTCATATATGACATAGCAGTCAGGATCATTCACAACTTTTCCCAAATCTTCTTGAATTTAGGTTCTGAGGCCAGAACTTGCTAATTTTTTCACTAGCTGTGCTGCAGCTTTGTTTAGTTCTCTTAACAACCTAACTGTAAAATGCAAAGCCATGCCTGCCATTAATGGTGTTATAAATACATTTCCATTTGAGGTGTGACCTGATGACCCCAAAATCTCTTGGCAACAGCTGATTCTCATGTACATCTTGGAGGGGTATGCAAATCTCCCAGCCCTCCTTTCCCACAAGCAGTCCGGGACATTAGAATGAAGTGATTTCTTTAACAAGGATTGTTTAAGATGTTTGGGAGTTTTCTTCAGTTGCACATAGACCATTTGCAGCACCCCATGTGCTTAGTAACTGCACTGCCAAATGCTACAATAAATTAGGCTACTTGGAGGGCTGCCAGCATAGTGTGAGCATGATTAGCTTGTAACGTTGGCATGAGGCCAGTAACTCCTCCCTCCAGTTCTCTGATGACCAATCCATGCAGGTGCAAGTTGGAGGCCACATGTCAAGGAGAAGTCACTACTGCTTCTACCAGATCCTCTTTGGTAGAAACAGACATCCTGCCACCACGACAATGAATCACTACAAGTTCACCATTAAATGTACAGGCTTATAACAGCTGGGGAACTGTCCCGCTCCATCACAACTAATGAGGAGTGCTCTATAATCTTGTTGCACCACAGAAGACCTTTTCAACCTATATTCTCGATGTGTTTTAAAGTCCAAATTGGTTTATAGTTAACAATAAACAGGCAGTCTAATTTGGCTATATTTGATAATATTATTCGGCTTTTCTCTTATCATCTTTCTAGAATCTTAGCCGTTGCTAACATCTATGGATGTAACTGTAGTTTTAAGCGCTGCAGAAAAATAATTGGGGCATGTCATCCCATCTCTAAAGATGCAAATAAAATGTCCTGATATGAATAAAATATTAACTAGCAATAACTATTTTTCTAGATGTTTGTGGATCTACATGATTTTAATCTGTTAACCGGACAAAATAATTCCTTAAAAGAAATCCCCATTTGGTTTCAGTGATTGACATGGGGAAAGACTTGCCACAAAGATAGATGTAGGAGCAGAATATGAGTGAAGAGAGGGCTGGAAGTAGGTGTAAGGCAGGGTTATGTGGGGGCGAGGGGCTAAGATGCTCATGTATTAAATCACATAGCGGCCCAGGGGTCGGATTCATCAGGACTGATTCGAAGCTATTGAGTTTGGACTCCATCTCCCATAAATCCTGGCATGTGACGCTGATGGATGTGAGCCATAAAGCCTCCCGCTTTGACATGTGGAGAGTAACATGGGGAACCATGGGAAAATGTGAGTGCTCCAGGTTAATGTCAATGAGGTCTGTGAGTGAAGAGGGGATGATGGAAAGGAGGGGAGTCGGGGACAGCGAGGGATGAGAGGTGTGGAGAAAGGGGATTGAAAAGATTGAGTGAGCAGAGAGTAGAATGTGAAAAAGCAAAGTGTTTGTGGGAACTTTGAGGAAGTGTTTGCTGTAACATTAGCTGTAATCCAGCCATCATCCTGCTAGTTTAAGGCCAAGATATACGAAGTACTGAAGTGCTGATAAGCTATGTTAAACCATCACAATGTGCATCAATACATCCGTCTAATAGTCCCTTAAAAGTCAGCCTGAGGGAGGAAGTCTTACTTTCCCCTTGAAACATTTATATCTGAGATTTAAAGCAACAAGGATATTTCTGGATGTTTCATAGATTAAGATTTCTTTAGCATCAATCAAATATAATTACGCTTCACCTAAGGATCTTTGGAAGAAAAACCCTGGGAGCGAATAATTAATATCATTTATCATCCAAAGGTCTCAATACTAAAGATTAATGAAGTTAAAGAAAGAGAGAAAAATAAACAAGATTAAATAGAATGACAATAAAGGCAACTAGTTGAGACTTTCACTCTATCAAATATAGTAATGAAAAATCTTAGTTATATTAAAGGTTTAGTTTCTCAGGACTTTAAGGAATGTGTTTTATGACCCAAATTTTACATTTAAGAACTAATAATAGGACTTTATTGATCTCACATTGGAGAAATTTACATCTGCATTTAACCCATTCCCTTGGGGATGCAGTGGGCTGCCACCGTGCGGTGCTCAGGGAGCAGTGTGGGGTTAAGAGTCTTGCTCAGAGAGCCAGAGTGCCGGCTGTTGGGATTGAACCGGGTACTTGCACCCTTTTCAGAGCAGAAGCGCACTGCTCTAACCACTAGGCCAAGACTCCCCTGACAGTTCTTGGTAGACCTCTCTTCTGCAATTTTCAACCATTAACAGCAACAAGACTTTACGATGGCTGGGAATCGAAACCCAGGTCAACTGCTTGGAAGGCAGCTATGCTCGCCACTACACCACCATCGCTAGATCTATTTGTAACAATAATGTGAACACGAAAGGAAAGAACATAGAAGAAATTTAACAACTTAATAGCTTTGCACATCAGAAACATCTCTGGTAAAACTAGAAGGATCTCCTTACTTCGGTTATAGAAACTTTTTGTTTTTACAGCCAACTAATTTCTATTCTGATAGCTGTTAAACCATTAAACTGGAAGCAGTGCTGGTACCTCATGGCACTGACATTTTAAATTATGCACTTCAACAAAAGGGAAACTGAATACATTGGAGGATAATAATTTAATAGTGATAATGATAATAATATATTATGTAATAACAAAAATTCTGCTGAGTTTTCAGACCTTTTGTTGACTTAGTCTGATTTTCTTGCCAAGATAAAAAAGCCCATAAATATGTAGGCAAATGTTGTATTTTAAAATATCCGCTGGTCATTTTTGAGAAGTACAGTAAAGTGAAAATTATTGTAGGTGATCAAAACATTGAATATTGTTCTGAAATCATTTCCCACGTGTCGATATATTAAACCTACTGCTATGTGACTTCCCTTTGTGGAAGACTGTGGTGCTTCTGTGTATGACTTTGTGGGGTTTGATTTATGATCAAGATAAATATACCTCATTAAAAAAAGCCATATTATTATAATAGTCTAAGCTATAGAAACTGCACAAACAGACTAGACAGGAAATGGAGAGACATGTACACTTCTTCATTAACAGAGCCCCACTTGGACCATAAAGTGCCGTCCCACTGTGCTTGAGGAAAATACCCTGATTATGGAGGTTGGAGGGGTATTGCTGCCCTAATGAAGCTTTCCACTGCAGTCGTTTATGATATTGGTATGGGTGGTATAGTGACTAGGCCTATGGGATGCACAGACCTACGAATGGACATGAGATAGCATTTGCAGTATATTTGTTAGGACAAGAGAGCTGGGGGAATACTTGCTTACCACTCATTTGGAGGACTCGGTTTTATAAAATTGCGGCTAAGGAAAATGAGTTTGTATTAAGAGCCAGGGGAGAAGCTAATTTAGCAAAGAACCAAAAGCAGTGAAAGAGGTATGAAAGTGTCTATCTCTGTCTCGTCTGGCTGTGTTTTCTTCACCTCAACATCTTTTCCTGTGTAGCTTCCTCTATCAGACTGAAGAGAAAGGAATGATTGTGAGTAATATCAGTCGTCATTATCCTGTTTTGCTTTTAATTTACATTTTAATGAAATGATATATCAATAAAAAGATCTTAGTTTGTTTAATCTTCCAGAGAAAGGCTGTAATCGAAATTTGTTGAGATTGGATTTTGAGGTTGATCTGCATATTTTTATGACTTAGTTGCCAATCGTATTTTTTCCTATTTTTAGACTAACACAGGCAACATTTACTGCTTTTTTCGTCTTGCTCTCTTTCACAGTCATAAAGAGTGGGATATATATGACAAGAACAGCAAAGTATGAAAAAGATTTGCCATTTCAAACTTTATTCACTTTTTTTTTTTTAGAAATTGAACACCGGAAACTTCAAAGCAACCAGTTTCAACAAACAAATATCTCTTTTATATTTACAGCAAGCAGTAGTTCAATGTAGGTTTTTATACTGTGAAACACTTTAATAATTTACTAAGTTAAGTTTATGTATTCAAATGTAGGAGTTCTTGTGTCTTTTATTTTGGTAATGAATGGATTTAGGCCTTGTATGTAGCACTGCAGGCTGTACATAGGTGAGTGTTTATAACAAAACAATTTAGCATTCACACTTTGGAAATTCTTTGGTTTGCTTATTTGGTCCAGGTTAAATGTTTGTTTTTCTTCTTTTTTACTTTTCTTTTTTCCATATTTTGATGCCTATCTTGGCCAGGTCTCCCTTGCAAAAGAGATTTTTAATCTCAATGGGTATTACCTGGTTAAATAAAGGATAAATAAATAAAAAAAAATAAATATTGTACTTTTTTGCAAGCAAACTATTAATTATAAACAAAGGTACATGTATGACGGTATTTGCTCCAATTGGACAAAAAAACAATAAGTGCATAGACATGTAAATGGGGGAAAACTCTTATGATTACTGTGCTTCTGTTCTTCATATTTGCTGGTAGGGCTCCTGCAAATTATCTTGAGTTTCAAGAGCAGTTCATTCAGGACAGTTTTGCCACACTCTATCTCCCAACTTCAAGTCAGAGTAGATGATTTGCCCCGTATGGCCGACCTCTAGCTCTGCTGGGGAAAAAAGGGCTGATCAGGTATAAATTCAGTATATTCACCATAAAGGCATTTCCTATATTTAGGTTGGATTGATTATGGATTTGCTACACCATAGGCAAACTATACCAGAGTCCATTTGGAACTGTACTGAGACCTCCTCTTTGGTCTGCACCAGAGTTTCCTTGAATTTATTGACAACTGCATAAAACCCTAGGGCAAGGTAGAGAAATTAACTGTTGTCTGTTTATAGTGGCCAAAAACTGAAAGATATGAATACACACTTAACCATTAAACCAAATGTTTGTGGTCTTGAGGTACGGATAATGATCAAAAGAAGTAAATCAGGGATACAAGTGAATGAAATTAGCTTCATCTGATCGTAACCAGAGTTATCTTAGAAACAGAGGGGCTTTATCATCTAGAGAAGGCTTCAAGGACGGCCGCTGCTACTCTGCATTGAACTGATTCAGCTGAGATGGTTCGGGGCCCTGGTCAAGAGGTGCCTTGGTTGCTTCCCTTTGGATGTCAATCAGCCACATTTCACTTGTAGACCCAGAGATGACTCAAAGCCCACTGCAAGAACAGTGCAGGACCTCAGTCCTACACAGAACCATGGGAGGGAGCTAAGGCTTTTTGTCTATGTTCAAGAAAACAAATGGTAAACGAAGTTTTTATTCCTGCATTTACTAAGTAGTGTAAATCTTTCTCATTTCTATTAAGTATATGTCAAACATTTATTTTTATATCTTTCGGTCTTTTTCTGTTAATTTGTTAAAAATTCACAAAAGCTGCTGTTACTTTTTAAAAAATCTTGCCATGTTTGTTTACCTAATTAAAAACTCATCTCAGATTAACATTATCATTATGAAATATAAACTTTATGTGGTACAAAGTCAAGTCCTGTCCCCTTTCTTCAAGTCTCCATGCAGCTGATGATCTATCCCTGTTTTGCAATGTGTGTGTATATGTATGAATTGTAAGATGTTATCTTGCGCTGAAGATTAAGATGCAATTTTGGTGTCAATGTTAAGATCTATTGTTAATATCACCAGATATTAACTATAAATGTGAGATATGGTGTCTATGAATATTCTCCAAAATCTGAAAATATGTATTAGCTATAATGAGGAAATATATCATATCCAAGCATTTGCTATGCTGAGGTAGGAGACTCTTCATTAGAGCAGACAAAGTCTCTGCATAGGGTAGCATGAGTTAAATTGTTTTCAGATCACCACGTGTGTTTCAATTTTGCAGCACTAACGTAAAATTGATGACAGAATTAGGTTAGGTAAATTGTGCAGCTGAATTTATGGCTCTTGTTTTGTAGGTTCTTTCAACATATCTAAAAAAAGCCAGTGTTGATAAATGAACCTGAAAATCAAATTCCATTAACTGCATCTCTAGAAACATTCAGACAAAGGGTGTTATGTAAAGGCAGAAACACAATAGACTGACATGGTATTACGATTAAAATTGGCTCAACTTTATCAAAGACTAAACTTAAGGATGCAGTAGAGGAAATATAAGCCTATGTACTTACTATAACGTTTGTCTACAACTCTGATAGAGCCACAAATCTAAGAACTCTAAATTGAGATGATGTTTGATTTTAGTCTTTATGTAGCTGTTTTATGTTTAATGGAATCTAATTTTATATTTATGATTTTATCATTTCTTTTGTCCTGTGGTATTGCACATTAGCCTGGCCAACCACACTGACTGACACCATGTGTTTAGTACACAGCTGGTCATTCTGTGTAAGCTCAGGCTCTCTAATCTAAACTCTGATTTATAATTCGAAACCAGGTCCTGGTCACAGGTGTCGCATTGAACAAAAAGCCATCCCCGCCTTCTCCGCTGCACCTCGCCCAAATTGTAACTGACCGGAAACAGTGCCGCAGACAGGAGGCCGGCTTGTTTTTTTTTTATGACAAAAATTGCGGAAAATAACTTGTGAAGTTTGACCAGCTAGAAGATCGAGGTGTCCGAGAACGCTGTGACCCTTTTTCCACTTGGATCCCCGCTATTTTTCACCGTCATGTCCCTCCATTGTCGGACTAATCTCGCCCCCACTTCCTCATCGCTTCGTATAGCACAGACCACGCCTCAATATTGAGCATAAATCAAAAATGTCTGCATCAAGCTCACTGTGACACACTGCTGCAGGAGTATAAGCAGCCCTTAACACTTACCAGACCAGTCACAACACGGGAGGCAGGAATTTTAAATGTCACTCATAATGCAACAGTAGCCATAAGATTCAAGATGATGGCCACAGTGAACCAATGTTTGGATATATTGCTAAAACCTCAACAGCCGGGTGCTCTAATCGCTTTTCTTTTCTCAAAAAGAGTATTTTGTGTTACCTCGTAATTCTGATTGGTTCTAACCTGTTTCCATTGACCCTGTTAGTCCCACCCTGGTCCCGCCTGTACCGTTCCAGGCTATAGTGTTTATGGCATAAGTTAATCTGGCTTGCCAAGTAAAATATACATACCTTGCATGCTTGTTGTAGAATTAAGGAGTTAAATGATTCTTTATTTTATTTACTTTTATAAGCCAGATAATATTTCAAGAGAAACTTCAGAGATTCCTTTATATAACTTTTATGCCCATATAAAAGCATTAGATAAGTCCTATATGCTAATCCCTTTTCCCACTGTTTACAGCTTCTCTTAGCTTCTTAATTACTCTACCATTTTTGTCCCACCCTACATCCCTCCCCCAACATCACCACAGGAGCCACCTAAGGCCCTCGTGTCCACCTCATTCATCACCTGAGTTTGATTCCTCTGCTCCGAATGTGCA